GACTCCAGCGAAAATGATTAACAAAATGGGCAGTTAAACGAGCCATGACAAAGCACGCCACGAAAGACCCACAAAAGAAAAACAGTGACATAGGCTCTCGAGACAATGCAGTGAACTCATGTGAGTATCTACTCCCCCCCCCCCACCCCCACCCAAAAAAGGAAGACTTAAAATCTTCAAAAATTGAAAACCTACCGATTGGAGATATCATAAAACTAATCACCAATTTTCGTCAGTGAACGATTTTATACCCAAAAGTCTTGGAATATAGTAAAGTGATGCTTCAGTTAAAACGCTCGTAACTAAACACAATCTCATTTCAAACTATACTTATGATTAAATGTACAAAGAAAAACACATATCTCTCTCAAAAAGCAAAATTCCTAAAACTATAAAACTCTTTAACAAATATTCTCTTTAACATGCGAAACAGTGTTATGTTTTGCCAAATTCCAATTATATATACGTGTATGTAAACTACGCTTTAAAACATGACTTTGTTAAAAAAATCTAAATGGAACGTTGTACAAAGTTTAAAGAATAGAATAGAAAAGAGTCCCAAAGCGTTCAATAAGTCATCGTGGTGATCTAGCGCATAGAAAAGAACCCCAAAGTGTTCAATAAGTCATCGTGGTGATCCCGCGCATTAAATCAAACACTGAATCAACGTAATTTATCTATTTGCTACGTAAAATTTAAATTAATAGATTTATTTCAGAACTTTATTTTGCAATTTCATTTCAACTTCAATAATAATTCCCAAAATAATACTTTCCATAATCTAAATCCCAGGTTTTTCATTTTAAGAGCACCATGCATGACTACATGAAACGCGACCAAAACGGATATTAAAAATACCATTTGAATTATTATAATACTCCCCCATCTTGCGTAAATCATTTTAATAAGAATTTATGCACGTCTTTCTCGATTAAACACGAATAAACGAACTTTAAACTCTGAATGCATCATTTAAAACCTATCTACTTAAAATTTCAATCGTTTCTTAGAACCTTTTGATAGATTTTATTTCTGATTATAACGACGTCAAAAGAATCTTCTTAAGGTATAAGTGTCACATTAAAAAAAAAGAATATGCAATCAAACAATATCAATTTTTTATTTCAATTACTAACTTGAAGAAAACTTCCTGAATCTATGTGCTAATTAATTTAGATTATAAGTTGATTAATCAGAGTCCCAGCCGCTGTGCTATTGAGAACTTATGATGTTAGTGAGAGAAATAATGATGTTAATGAACTTACTTTAGAGTGTTTCTTCTCTTCTTAATGTTATAAATCTTTGAAATTGTGAAAAATAAGAGCTTTTAGTCTTACCCTCCTAAGTAACGATTCTGATCTAACGTTCCTTTAATAATGTCGTTATTTCTGTAGAAAACAAATGAATATGCAGCCTGCTCCAACTGGTTTTTATATAAGTAGGTAAAAAACGATTGATTTTTATAGGTATTCATAAAAACGTATTTTATAAAGAAGAACGTTGAATACTGAATCTTTCAATGTAAGTATTAAATGTAGTGATAATGACAGAAATTTCCAAACGTTGTAAAGAATTAGTGAAAGCATAAAGAATAGCATGTTTTGCTATCATTAATCTTCGAGTTTTAAAAAATCAGGTTTGGGTTTTGTTTAAAACAAAGAAATTCCTCTCTGATGTTCTTCGTTGGATTAAAAACAGTTGTCTTACAGCAATCATCAAAATAAATGAATTAATATTTCTTAAAATTTCAATAAATATATAACTAATAATTTCCATATCGTCACGTGCTTAAACTACCACGATATCACTATTTTCGAAAGATGTTCGTTATACGATATTTCGTACATTACCTATGTTATAATAATTTCCATATCGTCACGTGCTTAAACTACCACGATATCACTATTTTCGAAAGATGTTCGTTATACGATATTTCGTACATTACCTATGTTATAATAATTTCCATATCGTCACGTGCTTAAACTACCACGATATCACTATTTTCGAAAGATGTTCGTTATACGATATTTCGTACATTACCTATGTTATAATATTGTGCTCATGCACTATTGAAATTTAATCAAAAATTCCAGGCTACCGTTTTCGTTTGTGACTACTGAACGGAGTAATGACAGAAGACAGCAGATTGTCCGGGGAAAAAAAAAGTATTTATGCCATCTCTCATTTAGAAATCGCTTGCATTGTTGAACAAATGTTCAAAGAAATAATGAAAATTCCTTTTGATAGAAACAATTACACAAAATATCCTCATATTCTGGATATCCTCAAAAGGTTTCTGAATGAGCTCTTGTCTCTTGCTGTGTAAAAACTCTTGTGTAAATTATACACGGTTAAGTTTTCTTACTAACCTGTTATGGTTGTATATGAATTTTGTTGATTCCAAAATGTTGTAAGATTAGAAATCTGGCTTCCTGTAAAAAGGAGACGTAATTATCGAAAATACAGTACACGATTCTCTGCTTCTCTGACACTTTTATGCGTCTATTTTGATTGGTTGAAAAGCGAGAGGTGTGAACTGTATATGTTGGATAGATAAAAGGAAAATAACAACGCACAACATGGTTTTAATGGCGGGAAGGAACACTGCGATATAGTTAGTGTAGCTAGAATCAACCAATGTGCAAAGTGATTTTGGGTGACTAGATTTCGTATAAAGCATGGTTGGGTAACGATATATAAGTACGCCCTGCTATCAATTATAAGCAAGAAGGTAAGTTTTTGTCAAAACTATATATAACCTCTAGAATTTAAGATCTACAAAATAAATGTACATAGTCCTTCAAAATAGTAGATACGCTATAAAACAGATACAATCTGTCGTTTTTGGATGAACAATTAAATCATCTAATTATTAGCTAGTACTAATAGTTGATCAAATGAAGCAGCTATATCCAATGATCTTTGAAAACCCATGTTTGGACTGTTGTATCTCATACCAAACACACACACGAGAATGAGAATAATCCAGCTAAGTTCATGATATTTCAAGGGAAAATAAAAGGATCATTGAAAAAAATCATCCAGCTAAGTTCGTGATATTTCAAGGGAAAATAAAAGGATCATTGAAAAAAATCATCCAGCTAAGTTCGCGATATTTCAAGGGAAAATAAAAAGATCATTGAAAAAAAAAATCAATATAGTTATAAAAAAGTAACCTAAGGCCAATACAATTAATAAATATTTAAGAGTTTCCTTCTTAAAAAATACAAGCAAGAGAACTTACAGGCAGCTAATTAGATACTGATCTGATTGTATAATGCTACTTATAACACTTACTTTTACTATTTTTTAAATTAATTAGTACATCATTCTTTCGTAATGCTATCAGTTATTTTTTTTTCCTATAATGTACTCTTTTCTCGCTTACTTTCTTCTACTGAAGTACTTATATATATATATACATATTTCTGATATATAGTTTTACAATTTAAATGAACTGTACCCAAGCTTGGTTAGGGTGTTCGTTTTCATACATGTAATTGTAACATGGTATAAAATGTACAGACAATAAGCTAAACAAAAAATTATTTGTGTTCTCCCACCAAGAGTATCGAAACCCGATTTTCAGCGTCGTAAGTCTGCAGACTTACCACTGATCCACTAGGGAGTATGACTGGAAAAGAAGAGCTTGATTGTTTGTAATTAAGCACAAAGCTACACAATGGGCTATTTGTGCTCTGCCCACCACAAATATCGAAACCCGGATTCTAGTGTTGTAAGTCCCCAGATATACCGCTGTGCCACTGGGGGGCAAAAAGAAGAGAGTTTGATATTCCTTTACTGCGTGTAATGTATAAGTGTAAAAATATATCCAAGCGCCAATAGCTGGGTTTTGACTAGATCAGTAATATAAACATTGTAATGTAATAACTTAATATAGCCTAGATATACTCAACAGATTTCCTTGCTTACTAAAAGGAATGGTAAGTTTTCACTTACTCCAAATTTCTTTCCCAAACGCATACTTTTGTCACGTATCTCGTTACTTTAGTTGTCCAGTTAACGATATATAGAATTAAAACGGAAATATTAGATTGACCTATAGACATTTAGCTGTTCTGTGTTTTATCTAATTCTTTTTGTTTGTCCACTTTATTACCGTATCGTGTATTTAGTACAATGATAAATGTGTTGTACACTGGAGGTTCCGGTTAAAGTTAGTATGAACCTTTGTTTTACAAGAAAGAAAACAGATAAACATTTCTTACCGAATTCTGTTCAGAGTTCCATAGTCGCTGCTCACATTGTGGTCAATACAAGATCTACGATCTTTATGGTTCATCAGGAATATCTTTATAGCCTGTCTCTACGTGCCCTTGACAACTAGACATACCAACCAAATACATGTATACACTTAATATCTCCTCTGATGCACACAGCACCCCATATCCATTCTACTCCGCTTTCATGTTACTGCTGCCTATTTATCATTTCTGATGTGCAATTTGATAGCAAAAATTGACCTGCCTTTACGTTAGCAGAAATATGTTATTAGCTTAGTGCAGTTCGATCTTTTGTAACGTGTGTAGCGAAGTCTTACAGTATCGTATTGTTTTATAATGGCAGTCCCGGATTCACTAGAGCCTTCGCCAAGTCCATACAAAAACTATTGAAAAAAAAAGTTTTCAATCTGGCAAGTAAAAACCCATAAACTTTTAATATGCTTTGTGCGCAAGGCGGGGTTCAAAGTTTGTCGTTCTACAAGTTAATACTATGCATATAATTACGGGGCAAATGTGATACGCTTACAACTGGGACTACGAAAAACTCCTAAACTCTCACTGGCCCCCCAATATAGGCAGTGGAAACGTTAGCTACTATTAATCCATCTCTATAAGTAAGGGTAATAACTGGTTTTATGGGTTTCGTGCTTTGAGTGTTACGGAGTTGGGCCTACTATCATAGAGATGAAAACAGTTCGGTATAAATTTGTCGGCTTAAATGCATATTAAATTATTTAAATAAGGAAATCACAGTACCAGAAAAACTGTCTTGAGACTTTCGGAGTCAATCCTTTTCAATTTTTAGTTCAATTATCCTTAAACTTCCAAACAGAATCCCCCAAACCTGAGGTGTTTTACTTCCAAACAGAATCCCGAAAACCTGAGTGTTTTCGAAAGGTAGGTAGATCTTCGTTCATTTCTAAAAATAACCGACATAAATTTTTATCATCCTACTGCAGTGTTTTTAAGTAGTGATTGAACCGTACACATAGAAATTAACACAGTTTATACTTGAATATATGGCAAAAACACATTTCTGTAGCTTCTTCGTATTTGTGTGGACACAAACGAAAACAACAGTGCGTAGGCTTGTAAGTTCTTAGGTTATCTTGAATGACATGATTTTTTATACAGCTAAAATATCCATTGAGGTAACACACAAGATAAAATCGAAGATTTGGTGTGTTTTTTCTTCAAGTTAATCTATACTGATTATAACAGTACTTCTGTATGTAAAGGTTTATCTTAATTACTTTTGTGGTCTAATAAGATATTCCATGCACGTTGTGTGCTTATGAAGACTATACCCCGAACAATTGGAATAGCCAAAAGCTTTGATTGGTTTGTTAACAATTGGAATAGCCAAAAGCTTTGAATGGTTTGTTATTGACCTTCTTCTCTAGTATGATTTAACTTAGTAGTAAATACAACCAAAGAATATTTCACTACCTTTAAATTTTGTTGATCAAATTTGTCTTTTGAATACATTATATTTGTATTAAGCATGCACATTTAACGTAGTACAACATCTTTTGCTGTGTTGTAGTACTACACGTGCTTCGGTGTGCAGCATCTTCTACTGTGTTGTATTACTACACATGCTTCGGTGTACAACATCTTTTGCTGTGTTGTAGTACTACACATGCTTCGGTGTGAAACATTTGTTGTTGTGATGTACTAC